AGTGATGATGATGGTGGTGGTGCTGGAGATGAAGAAGATGACAGTGATGATGATGGTGGTGGTGCTGGAGATGATGGTGGTGATGGAGTTGATGGTGATGGAGATGATGGTGGTGGAGATGATGGCAGTGCTAACGATGATGGTAGTGATGGTGTTGATAGTGGTGATAGTGTTGATGGTGATGATGGTGTTGATGGAGTTGAAGAAGATGATAGTGATAATGATGATTGTGGTGATGGAGATGATGGTGGTGATGGTGGAGATGGAGATGATGGTGATGGTGGTGATGGAGATGATGGTGGTGATGGTGGTGGTGGTGGTGATGGAGATTATGGTGATGATGGTGGTGATGGTGGTGATGGACATGATGGTGGTGATGGTGGTGGTGGTGGTGATGGAGATGGTGGAGATGATGGAGATGATGGTGATGATGGTGGTGATGATGGTGATGGTGATGATGATGGTGATGGTGGTGATGGACGTGATGGTGGTGGTGGAGATGATGGTGGTGATGGTGGTGATGATGGATGATGGAGATGGTGGAGATGGAGATGATGGCCTGTGCATTTCCCATCTCCATGGTAACAAGCTCAGCTGACAGGCTGTGTGTTTCATGTTACCACTGGGAATGCATTGTTGAGATGGTAGAGATAGCTGGGTCCTGGCCTATTCCTGTCTCACCTACTTACCCACCTTAGCTCTACGAGGATGCTTTAACTGTGGTTAGCGCTTACTTAAGACAAATGGTGGCATGTGTTTACAAAGTGCTTGTCACACATGTCTGACAACCTGAGTTTGATCCCAGAGCTCACAAAAAGGTTGAAGGAGAGAACAGAACCCACAAAGTTGTTCCCTTAACTCTGCTCATGCCCCCATCTTTCTGTCTCTCCCAGTCTCCCATATGCACTACTACTACTACTAATTCAATTATAGAATTATGACATCATTTATAATAATGGTGATGAAAAGTTCTTTCTTCCACCACATGTGTGCCACCGTACTTGTGTGCTTGTGTATTTGAAGAATAGCCCTGACCCAGCAAACATTCTTGGATACTCATCTTTGTACTTGTGGTATGCATTTGTATATTTATTCATGTGTCTTGTATAGCATGAGTTCCCAGGAAAGCATGAACTTTGTCTGTGTTACTCAGCACATAGTGCTGAACTACCTGTGCCTGGAAGATAGCAGCTGTCCAATCGTTATTATCAGACAGAGTGGATGAGTAACTCAGCGAGTGAGGGTCCCAGCTGAGCACCCTTGTCGGCGGGCTGTGGTTCATTTGACTTGATTTTAACGATGCTATGGAGGGCGCTTGTTTCCCCATAATGATACCCAAAGCCCCATCATTAGAGACGCTGACTGTTCCTCACTGGGGGAAGCTCAACACTAACTTCCCACTCTAATATCTATCTTCGTGGGAGTTAGTTTATTCCCCTTCCACTCTCCTTCCCAAAGGGGAGGCTACAAACTCACTCTCCCTCCCCCTTACATGAGGCACCTTTGGGAGCCCATGTGACTCCGAGGACAGTTACTGCTCATGAGACGGCAAAGACCTGGACATGTGGGGCAGTGTGGGTGGTTCCCACATCTCCCTACAGCTCAGGGTTCCTCTGGAAAGTTCCTACTTCATGTCAATAGCAACGTGGGAGGGATTCCAGGTCCATCTTTCCCTTTTCCTCATCTTTTAAAAAAGATTTTGTTTTCCTCATCCTGGCAAAATGGGGTTCATGACCTAAAATATGTCGGACTCTTTTTCTTTTTGAGACAGAGTCTCACGAGGTAACTGGGTTACCTGGAACTTATCACGGAGACCAGACCAGTCTTGAAGTCTTCTGTGCGCTGAGATCAAAGTGGTGTGGCACCACACCCAGCAAGGGTCAGAACTTATATGCAGTGCATACTGTCCCAACTGGATGCATTTGTGAACAGCGCCTAACGTCCCAATTTCAATGCTTAGTGCATCCACTACGCATTCATTACTTCTCCACTGGGAGCCATTCAGCCTCCTCCCTCCAGTTATTCTGAAATACTCAGTGCCATCACTCTGTCATGCAGCAGACCCCAGCCCTCACCCTGCTGCTGTCTGTCTGTCCTCTTGCCTGTGCTGGGGCACAGTGTTTCCAGGGGTATGCAAACATAACCTCAGGGAACTAGGGCTCTGTAGACATCTGGTTGACAGGTGTGTGTGTGTGTGTGTGTGTGTGTGTGTGCGCACGTGCGCGTGCGCATGCACATGTACATGGGAGGGGTGGCAAGTGAGCTCTCCTTATTTCTAAGTCTGGGTCAAAATTGCAATAACTGTGAAGACCAGGACAGGTTTTATGACACATGGTTGTGAAGCTGACAGGTTCTTTCCTGTTTGTGTTTTGATTTGGGGGACCCCGTTGGGGCAGACAGTAGTTGGGAGGAGACACCTCTAGGCCACTGAAGAAGTCTGGAATTGACCATGATGTAACGCTAAGGGACCATCTTGTTTGGTCCTCGGTGTCTTACCAGTGATCCGCAATCTCTTCTGCGTCCCCCTTCATCACCGGGACCTGGTGCCTCATCTTTGATACATCCTTTTGGAAATTTGAGGCGAGAATAAAGGAGTGGAACTTCTGGAGACCCCGCTCTTCTTGGCGCCTATGAGATGGTGTGAAGTAGGAGAGGAGTTAGAGACACAGACCCCTCCCCCTGTGGCTACAGGTGGGCTCTTTCAGAAGCCATAGCTCTCTTCAATGGGCTGACGTGATTTCACCGTCTCTCAGAGACGACAATTAAATTCCGTGTGCAGAGCGCTGAGCATTCTGCCGGGCACACAGGAGGTGCTGAACTCACGTTGCTTGTTCTCTTCCACAGTTTCTTAATTTCGCACACAGCCCTCTCTCCAAAGAGAGTCCAGGTTGTGACGATGCTCACACTAATGCCCTACATCCAGCATCCAGGGCTTTCCATCTCACTTAGACCAAGGAACTTAGAGGAACTTATTCCTCAAAGTCCTGATAATCCAGTATAATCCAGTTTCTACACTTCCCAACCACATCAGCATGCTCAGAATTCTGAGCCTCTTTCTCGCAATCAGGGCCCTTGGGACAAAGTGTGATCTCCATACTAGGAGCGGGCAGGCCAGTGAAGCCTTTTGGATATGGACTCTGTCTAGCTCTCTGATCACCTCGTAAGCATCCCAAGAGCCAGTCACAGCTGACATCTGGCAGCTCCATCCTATGCTCTGGGACTGCTTTTCCTTGGAGTTCTCCCCTTCTTTCCTAGCCAGATTCTCTGGGTTTGGATCCCACCTTTGTTGTTTTGTAACAACACAATTTATTGTGTTGTCGTGTACAGGGCCTTTGGCACAAGACTTCTCTGAGTGTGCTTGTAGCATCTGTAGGGGGGTTAAATAAAGCCCCTCACCTGTGGGGCTGTTGGGAACCATAAACAGTGCATAACTAACCACAAAGCTCCCAGCTCACTGGTGGAGGACACTGGTGGACATTGCCTAACGTGGTACCCTGGAGATGGCACTGCCATAGTTAACCTGAGAATCTCTCCTTCATAAAGATGTTCAGGTGGCTTTCCCAGGTCAGGAAGTGTGTGCGATTCTCCTCTGTATGCTATGAGTATGTTTTATTACCATTGGTTAATAAAGAAGCTGATTTGTCCTATGGTAGGGCAGAATAGAGCTGCGTGTGTGTGTGTGGGGGGGAACTAAATTGAATGCAGGGAGAAAGAAGGCAGAGTCAGGGAGAAGCCATGTGACTGCTGAAGGGGAGAGGCCATAACCTTACTGGTAAATCACTGCCTGGTGGTAATACACAAATTAATAGAAATGGGTTCATTTAAGATACAAGAGCTAGCTAGAAATATGTCTGAGCCATCAGTCAAGCAGTGTTGAAATTAATACAGTTTTGTGTGATTATTTGGGTCTGGATGGCCGGGAAACAAATGTGCACTCTTTGATTACAAGGAAGGACACCGGCTCTCTGTGTTTCTTAGTCTTTTGCTTGTCCCCGTCATTGCTGGCCCTCACTGCCCTGTGGGGTAGATGTTCATGTACTCACCTGTCTCTGTAGATGGTGAGTTCTGAGCAGGAAGGGCCCTGGGAGTGGTGAGCTCCCTGGGTCCGTGGTCACCTTAGTTAGGGGATGGGTTTTGGTGGGGACCAGGAGGGTTCTGGTGGCCTGTTAACGTTGAACTCCACTGACAACTTTCTGGTTGTGTGTGATGTGGAGTCACTGCCTCTTCTTGCTCCTATCAGAGTCCCCAGATACCTGCCACCTGGAACACTTCTCTTCCTAGTTTCTTCTCTTCTGGGTTCCTCTGCTTCTCCTAAAGCCGCCTCATCAGACAGGACTTCCCTGATCACCCAACCTGAATTGGGGTCCCCAGTTTCTGGCCTTCTCCCCCTCTCCTTTCCCCTCCTATTCATTTCCTGCTTCTCCCCCCTCCTCTCTCTTCCTCCTCCTCATCTTCCTCCTTATCCCCTCCTGCTTCCCCCTCCCTCTTTCTCCTTTGCTGTCCCCCCTCCACATCCATCCATCTTCTTCAGACAAAACACCTGTTTTCTTCCCACATAGGGTGATGCTAAGTTGTGTCTCTCTGTGGATGCAGTGATTTTGTTTCTTTTTCTCAAGAGGCAGAGTTTGCTCCCCAAGGGTGGCGAAGGTGTCTCCCTGTCACCACTCCAGCTCCAGGACTGCATACATACTGAACATGCAGTACCAGGTACAAGCCCTTGCAATGGGCTGGACATGTGTCTGCCCTTACTTCATAAGGATTTCCATCTTGTCTTGTAGGCAGAAGCTGGCCTCCTGGGCTATGTTGTAAAACTTGGCCCGCATAGTGCTACACACACCGCTCTTGCAATGGATGATGTCCCGGTTAGCACGGCTGTAGACAAGAGAAACCATTGAGAAATGGGGTCCAATGCATACTCCTGGTAGCCTCATGGGTCCCACTGGCCTCTGTGAGCCCAAGATACCCTGAAGTGGGAACTGCTAGTGCCCAACTGGGCTCTCTGTTTCCAAGTGGCTCCTCTCCCAGCATCCTTTGGAGGTTGGAAGAATGGGAGGTGACCCAGGCCTTATACACAAGCCACAGCGAGCTGGCTTCAACTGGATCCCAGTGGATGCCAAGGAGAGCGAGCCTCCAACTCCAGCTTCACCCCTTCTCAGCTGTGCGGCCTCAGTCGGGACGTTGCGTGTGGCCAGCTCTCAACCTGTTACTCTATAAACTGAGATGATGCTGTGGCCCGGCAGGGTTGGGCTTGGGGAATAAACAAGGCTGTAAATGTAGGACACAGCCCGGGGTGCTTGGGCTGCAGAGGAATTTCATGTCGTATTCCTCAGGGCGCTCAGGATCTGGTCTGGGAGACCCTTGTCTCTCTTTCCTGTCTATGGATTTGGGGAATCTGGTCTGTACCGAGCTTTCCCCACATGCCTAGGAGAGCAAGGATGCAGTTACCATGGTGAGGTCTCCCTCTTGCCCACGATGTGCAGCCCCCCACCTGGCTTACCCCTTTGACTTCTTCTGCGTCACCAGGGTGTGGCTTTCTCCACTGGTAGTGCTGGATCTCTCACTGAAACACCAAGGGACAATTTCCGGTTGTTTTCTATCAGCGGTTCCTCGGAGGCCCAGGCTGGCATGAGCTAGTCCCCCAGAACTCAGGCGCAGAGAAGATTCTTACCTGGGGACCAGGACTCAGTGCCCGTCATCTCCAATCTTGGAGTTTGCTTCTGTCATCTTTCTGCCTGGAGTGCCTTTCTTGTCTCTCTCCCACCATCCCTACTGCCATTTTGTCTCATGGTCCATAGCGAGTCCTGTGTCCTTAGACTCTTCAACTTTGACCTTTTGCATTCGTGTAGGGATCACATGCTATCTCCAATAGCGACAGGTGCATGCTGGGACAGGAGTGGCTGAGTCTTCCTGTGTTATGTTTGGTGTTCCTCACTCCAGACTGACACTTCATTTGAGCAGACACTTTGCTAAACTGTGACGGCTAATCTTGGCTGTCGATTTTACTACACCTGGAACTAACTAAAACCAAGTGGCTGGGCACACCTGTGAGGGGGTTCCTTAATTGCATCATTTAAGATGGGACGACCACACTAAATCCTGATTGTTTGAGGTGGGAAGACTCACTTTAAATCTGGGCCACTCCTGCTGCCATCACGCACAGAAGGAAATGGAGGGAGGATGTCTGCTTTCCCTCACTCTTGTTCATCTATCCTGCTGCCGAGGTGTTCCTTCACGGCTGCTAGAACCCGCTTCTTCAGGATGCCAACATAGGCTGAGGGTCAGCTGAGACGTCCGGCCTCATGGACTGAACAAGTATTAGATTCCTGGCCTTTCCCTAGGGGGGCAGCTGCTGTTGGACGAGCCAGGCCACAGCCTTAGCCAGTCTACAAAACTCCCCTTTAGGGAAACAGATCCTGCTATCAGTTCTGTTTTCCTAGGACCTCTGATGGACATCCACATTGAGCTGAAGACCCAGGTGATAAGAATCCAGCATCTAGATTCAGGGTCTGGCCTGGTTGTCAGTCACCTCCTCTGGAATCACTCAGCTTATTGCATCCTTGGAGCCTGTCTAGGTATGGATCAATTAGATCCCTTGCACGACTGTTCCACCCCGTGACTGCAGCCAGGCTAGCATCCACAAGTAGATGCTCACTCCAGATCAGATCCAACACTCCAGGTTGCCTTTCTGCCTTTCTCCCAGGACATTTGAATATCAGTGTGTGTGTGTGTGTGTGTGTGTGTACGTGCATGCACATACACGCACATGTGTGTATGTCTGTGTTATAAACACGTGCTGCCACACCCTGCTTTTAATGTGGGTCCTGGGGATTAAGATTCAGGCCTTGATGCTTGCATGACAAGTGCTTTTTATCAACCAAGTCATGTCCTGATCCATGAGCACCAGTTTTGCTTTTGAGAGAGACCGGGCCTTGCTATGTAGCTCTGGCTAGCTTGGAACTCCCTATGTTAACCAGGGTGGCCTTGAGCTCACAAGATACCTGCCCATCTCTATCTCCTCAGCGTTAGGGTCAAAGGTGGGCATCAACCACACCTGGCACACTGACTGACATTTATTTCGTTAGCGCTTGCTTATTGCATTATCAATTCTCAAAAATGGGCATAATTCAGGAGACCCCTGGAGGCAAACAGAGGAACACATCTCGATTTTAACTGATTTCTAACTGAGATGGCAATGACAGGCATTTAGATGTCACATGGGAATCGTGGGAGAGTCTCAAGGATCATTTACACTCCATGCTAATCCAAAGTCACAGTGTTTGCAGCCCTCCTCTGAAGTCTTACTCTGTAATGCATCAGTAAGCTCCTAGAAGACTATGCCTCAAACTGGGAAGTGATCTAGTGACCTCACCACTGTAGCTGCCTTCGGAATCCTCACACTTTATAATGTGCATTTACAACAACCTTCTGGAAGGCACCCACGGGCTTCCCTGGATTAGCTTGGGCCCCAAAGCACAAGGACGCTCCAATCAGGTGTTGGGGTGTGCAACGTATTTGTTTCATTTGCTTATTGAAGTTTCCGGACCTGGGCACAGCTCCCGGGCCACAGAGGGGACTGACTCCATGTCACGTGACAGGGAAGCTGATTCAGAGTGAGGTCCTCCAGGCCTGTGCATCAGTGGCCCGCAGAGCTCAAACAGGCAAAATGGAATTACACCTTAAAATAGACGAGAAGGGGGACCTGGGCCACGTTTCGTCATGGATGGAAGAGTTTAGTGGAAAGCATGGAATATAACCGTTGAAGAGAAGTGTCTGGGTATTTGCTGCCAGCCCAGCATCAAAAGGATCTTACGTGTAGGGAGGTCAAAAGAAGGAGAGGTGCCCCTCTCAGCCCTTCTGTCCCAGCATCTGTGTGCTGGCCCTGGGTCAGGACCAGCTTCCCTGCCTCTCCACCCTGTTTCCAGTTGCTGGAGGTTTCAGAATTTCCTACCTGGACTTGTAGATGGTCGGCCATTCCTTCCAGGCAGAATCGCTCTTGACTTCCTTGACTATATTCTGGATGCTACAAAACAAGGGGAGTCTTGTAACAAAGGGTCAGGTGCCAGGTACCACTGCAGCAGCCGTGTCTATGCCAGGACCAGTTGCCTCCTCCCAGAGTGAGCTACAGAGTCACAGTGGAGGGAGCACCTGGAGAGTCTGCTGAGAACACAGATTCTAGGCCACATGTATGTTCAGAGACTTGGCTGTGCTGGGCTAAGTTGTGCTCAGAAACCTCACTTCCCTAGACTCAGACACACGGACAGATGCCAGGATGATCTACCTCCTCTGGAGAATTGTAGAACCCCAGAATTGCACACAGACACTATAGAATTGCACCATACTCAAAAACTCACAATTTAATTGTGTAATGTACACACACACACACACACACACACACACACATGCACACACACACACGGGCACACATATGCATGCACGCACACACCAAAATTATATATACATTTTTAGAATTAAAAACACACCTAGAATTTCACAATACACAACAATTGCACACACATGTACAGACAGATGGGGAATTTGAAAAACATACCTAGAATTCCACACTTGCCTAGAGTTACATTCTTATCTAGAGTTCCACCCTCACCTAGAATTCTACCCTCACCTAGACTTCCACCCTTGCCTAGAGTTCCACACTCGCTTAGACTCTCACACGCACCTAGACTTTCATACTCGCCTAGAGTTCCACACTCGCCTAGACTTCCACACTCGCCTAGAGTTCCACACTCGCCTAGAGTTCCACACTTGCCTAGACTTTCACACGCACCTAGACTTTCATACTCGCCTAGAGTTCCACACTCGCCTAGACTTCCACACTCGCCTAGAGTTCCACACACGCCTAGACTTCCACACTCGCCTAGAGTTCCACACTTGCCTAGACTTTCACATGCACCTAGACTTTCACACTCGTCTAGACTTTCACACTCGCCTAGACTTCCACACTTGCGTAGAGTTCCACACTCGCCTAGACTTTCACACGCACCTAGACGTCCACACTCGCCTAGAGTCCCACACTCGTCTAGACTCTCACCTTCATCTACAATTTCACACCTCTAGAATCACAGTACTCCTAGAATCCCCCCATCAGACTCCACACAAAAGCCAGAACTACATATTCTGTGGAAATCTACACACAAGAGTGTTCCCCAGACTCTTAAACAGTGCCCACTTGAAGCACTTATTAGAACCAGAGCTGCCCTGGAGTCCGAGACGAGGTCTGGGCACCAGCAGCAGTAGTTGTGATTCCTGGCTTCGGGCATGAAGCATCACTGCGTTTCACAAAGATGCCATCTTCCTGCAGCCTGGAGGCTGAGGGTTAGGCTCAGCGGTCTCCATCAGCCTCTTAGCCTATCAGCTGGCCTCAGTGTGAACTGGCATGGTGTGTGTCCCTGGCCGTATCACGCAAGCTCCAGTATCTAATGCTTTACTCAGTTGGGGAGATTTTATTTTTCCTAGAAAGAATTAACGAGAAAGGGAGATTTCTACAGTTTCTCTGTACTTATGTTTATTGTTGAATTCAATGCAGAGTTCACATGAGACAGGGTTCCCCGAGCCATGGGATCTATAAACCATATGGAAGTCATCATGGATGTTCTCCATCTGTGAGCATCTGTGAGGTGTGCTGTGCTAGGTAGGTCTTTTTTTTTTCCAACTTGACAGAGCTTAAAGCATTTGAGTCTCAATTGAGAAAACGCCTCCCCAAGATTGGCCCATAGGCACATCTGCAGGGAATTTTATTGATTAATAACTGATGTGGAAAGAGCCAAGTCCACCGCGGGTGGTGCCATCCTCTGGGCGGGTGGTCCTGGGCGGTCTAAGAAAGCAAAGCCAGCCAGCCAGCCATGGGGATCAAGCCAGTAAGCAACGTTCTTCCTTGGCCTCTTTGTCAGCTTTAGCCTCCAGGTTCCTGCCCTGACTTCTCTCAGCACTGGGCTGTAGCCTGGGGTTGTAAGCTGATTTTGGTCAGTGTTTCATCATGGCAATAAAAAGCCACCTAGAACATGTGACCATGGTGATAGCTGATCCACCTGCCTCAGCAAAGGTTGTAAAGGTTGTCGCTCCTATATAAAGGACAGAAGCCATGACTGCGCTCGCTGCTCCTGCTGCAGCTATTGGCTGCTAGCTGGATGCCCGGAAGAAGCTGGGGTATTAATAAATGCATTGTGTCCCTAGATGCTCTGAGGACTCATGGAGATAGACGCGACTTCTGGAAAATTCCTAGGATTTTGCAACAACAGTATGACTTAATTCTCACTACAGCCATTCTGGGTAAGTTGCTAAGGTGCTTTTTTGTTTGACAGCATTGCGACAAGTATCGGGGAAGCAATGTGGTCACACAGAAACTGAGTAATGGGCTGGAGATACTCGCTAGTCTATGGGGTCCCAAAGCTGTGCCTTGGTGCTTCATAATCTCATTTCCACAGCAGCCTAGGACTGAGTCATCGGTCCTCAGCCCCAGGCTCCACATGGGACTCAGAAGATACACTCCAGCCTTTGAGTTTGTCACCTTCGTCTGTCACTGCTGCTGACGGGGCGAGTGCCTTACAGGTCAACTGTCTCAGAATGCCTCCACATGCATTCTGAGGGGGTGGGTCTGAGTTGAGGCTGCAGCGGCGGACAGATTCATCATTAAGACACAGAGGTGGGGCAAGATGTATTCGGAAACATCGGGAGAAGGGTAATTACAGCACTAACAAGAACCAATAAGTCATGGCTGGTGTCCCAGTTGGCTGAGGCTCATGATAAACCTCTTCTTGGGCTCTGTTTATTTTCTGTAAGTAATTTGCTTGCTCAGGGGGATTTACACTGGAGATCTCTGACTCTACCCTGCATTCTCTCAGGAGAAGTTAGAGGCCGCAGGTCCATGGGCAGGACTTTCCCCCCGGAAGACAGACACCTCAGCTTCAAGTTCAACACTACTCTCTTATGAGCCAGCTGTGCTAGTTGATGCTGGGAGCCTCAAGGATGCCCATGCTTTTTAGGGTGAGACTACAAACCCTTCAGGCGAGGGTTTCCAAGATGAAGTCCCTCGCCAATGGATGCTTTTCTCTGTTCCATTCTGGCCGTGTTCCGCTCCCTGAGGATGCTGTGGTCTGCACACAGCTGACTGTACTCGGCTGACTGAATGAATGTTCCACCCTCCCCTGCCACGTGGGTCTGTACCTTTGACAGGCAGGCCTTTCCCCGGCTGACCTCATCTCAAAGCTCAGCTTAAAGTTTCTCCCAGAGAAAGAAGAAACTCTCTTGAGTTTCTAGACCAATGATCCTTTTTGTGTTAGGGTCTTGCTATGTAGCCCAGGCTGGCTTCAAACTCAAGATCTCGCACCTCCCCCTTGTGAGCGATGAGATTACAGGCATGTGCCACCATGCTTGTATTATATTTTGTTTCTCTGTCTTTTTTCCCTGCAGTGCTGGAGATGGAGCCCAAGGCTTCGCACGCCGAGTGATTTCTAACTCAAAGCTCTTTTGCTTATTTTTGGCAACTCCATACCTGGAAACAATTTATCTTGACCACATTCTTCCAAACTCCTTCCTCCTAACCCCGCTACTGGACACCCCTCAACACATGCCTTCCAACCTCCATGTCCCCCCTCTCTTTATAAAGATTTATTTATTATGTATACAGTGTTCTGTCTGCATACCAGAAGAGGACACCCGATCTTATTATAGATGGTTGTGAGCCACCACATGGCTGCTGGGAATTGAACTCAGGACCTCTCTGTAAGAGCCGTCAGTGCTCTTAACCTCTGAGCCATCTCTCCAGCACTCCCTCTTTTTGTGTAACCCACTGAGTCTAATTAGTACTGCCTGTTGGAATGTTGACTGATCATGATGACTTGATCTTGTTCGGATCTTATGCATGTCACCATAGCTGCAGGACGTTTATGAATGCACTAGCCATGCCTTTTCCTAAAGACAGCATTCCAAGGCACCCCTCCCCACCCTCCAGCTCGTACCCTCTTTTCACCCCCTCTTTTGTAATGTTCCACAAGCCTTGCAGGAAGTTGATAGACGCGTCTCATTTAGAATCAAGCAATCCAAAGTACAATCACTTGCGCTCATCGCTGTGACTAGTTCTGAGATTCTGTATTAACTACTGCCCACTGCAGAAGCAGAGTCTCTGGCCAACATTGACTGCAGAATTGTTTTATGTAAAAATCCTAGGTTTTAAAATCTTAAGTTTCCAAGTTCTTCCTTGCGCACATAGTTTACACATAGTCATAAATACTCATGAGAAGGGTGAGTACCAGCCCACAGGGTCCCAGACAGACAGAGCAGTCAAGACATTAGAAAGTTCTAGATTTACATCAACATCCACCAGCTGTGTAGCCATTAGCAAGTCATTTAGCCTCTCTGCCTCGTTTGTAAAGGTAGTTGCTTCCTCCTCTAGGGGTTGTTGTAAGAATCCAGGGGAGTCCACACATACAAAGTACACAGCTCAGTGTACTAGCTGGATCACGAGTTGGGGATTGCCACTGTGGCTGTCACGGCTATCTGACTGAATTAAGGGGACATACCTGGGAACTTTCTTCTGCAGCTCAGTCATCGGCATGATCGCTCTTCGGGAGTCTTCCCGGACCATCTCCAGGAGCTTCTGCAGGTCTGATGGAACGGGAGACAGGATGGTGCATGAGTCGGGGGATCAGACGGGGACCCCATTCTGCCCCAGAAGGGGCAGCTCATAGGGTCTAGCAGGTCACACTCCCTGACTTAAAACTATCCCATGATTCTTGGCTACAGATATCTACCTGGTTTGATAGATCTTGAAGGATTTTTTAAAATTAATTTATTTTTGATTGTGATGTATACCTGTTTCTCCCTCCCCCCGTAATACATACTCATGTGTGGGCATGCATGAGGCCAGAGGCAAATATGGGGTGTCTTTGATCTCTACCCCATGTTTTGAGACAAGAATCTGTTACTGAACCTGGAGTTTCCTGACTGACTGACCGCTTGGCCAGCAAAGCCTAGAGACTCTCTGGTCTCTCTCTGCTGCACTGAAACTGCTGGTAGGCACCACCACACCTGGCTTTTTCGGTGGGTGAGGGGAATGAACTGATAGCCTCACGCTTGCTTGGCACCTGGTTAACAGACTGAGCCATCTTTCCAGCCCCTCTGCTGCAGCCAGAGAAAACTGTCTCAGAGTCTGACAAGAAATATTGTTTGGGAAATTTTCCAAACAATTTCCTGATTATTTTCCAAACTGGCCAAATCCAGATCACCGTTGTATTTTGTCTGCTTTGAGGAGAGTGTCAGCCTTTGAAAACTAAGTTTTTGCGTCAACATTCAGATCCCTACAGTTCTTTTGGAAAGAATCTAAGACATGGCCACACTGTCCTCATTCCTGCCTCTCACTGACTGATTTTTCAGACAGGCTTCCACACCCTTCCCCATGCCAGTGGACCCTTGTCATGATTTTGAAGTGAAATAACCCTCCGTGTGTTGAAGACTTGGCCTCCAGTGCATGGTGCTGTTGAGGACGGCACAAGTCGCGAGGGCGCAGGCGTTGCCAGTGTGCTAATCCAATGGCGACTCGTGCTGAACAAGCTGCTGGGAGCCTGGGTGTAGTTGGAGGAAGTAGTTTAGTGGGAGCGTACATCTCACAGGACTCGCCTTGGTCCAGCCCCTTCCTTTTCACTCACTCGGCTCCCTGTCGCTGCGAGGTGGTTATCTCTGAGCGAGGCTCTCCTTCGCCATATTCCTGAAGCAATGATGTCAGTGCCCGTGAAACGAAACCCTTGCAGCACAGCAAACCCCACCCCTGTTAAGCAGCTCCTTCAGGTTCCTTAGTGATGGAAAGTGGTGGAAGCCCCATCTCTTCAAGTCTCAGCTCAATGATCGGGGTGCAAGACGCTTCTGTGGATCATCCTAGCTGGGCAAGCGCCACTCCAACCCCATGGGAAGATCGAGGCGTCTCCAGCTCAGCCCTCACGGCCATCCTCCTCCTCTTACCTGCGACCTTAGTCATCCTGCTACTCAGAGCTTCCCTGTTTACTGCCGTCCTTGTTTTCTTTACGTGCACCACCACCCATTCCCTCCACATCCTGCGCTTGCAACACACAGGCATTGAAGGAAGAAGGTTCCAGAAATTTAGAGGAATCAATCTCTCACTCACTCCCATCCAGACAGTGACTTTGAGAGCTCCGAGTCTTCCTTGGGCCCTTGTTGACAGGTCCTGACTCCCTGAACTTCTGGTTTTGCGCTTTGGCTCTGATAAACCAGGTAATGTCCAGACCCTAGATCCACTCTGATCTCCTTGAATCTAAACAGCACCCAGTCTTTGCCAGCTCTTCCCAGGCCAGCCTGGCTCAGATGCCGACTTCACCATCTTCCACCTGTTTGGGACAGGATCTCTTTGCCATTTTCCTACTGTGTATATGAGGCAAACTAGCCCATGAGCTCCCAGGAATAATTTTGCCTTGGCCTCCTGTCTTTCTGTGGGGATGCTGGGATTACAGACACTTGAGCTATGCATCTGACTTTTGTATGGCTCTGGGGATTTGAACTCATATCTTTCTTCTTGCAGGGATGGTACTTCTACCCACTGAGGCCCCTCTACATATCTGATTTTATTATACTTGCTCAATGCAGGAAATCCTGAGAGAATATTTGACATGGTTTGTGGAATCCAGTTGCAAGTTTCTCTTCCTGAGGTAGGAGGTTTCCTTACCCTTGGAGAGTATTCATGGTTTTGGATGTCTTCCTTAAATGAAGACCATAGCTTTCAGTAGACTCCTAAGGGCTCTAAATCCAAATGTGAATTACTAAAGATCATGGATACGAGAAAACACACATCTCTGTGTAGAATGGTAGATTGTGGCCTCTCAGGTTTAGACTGGGGAAGGACAGGGACAATGGATGTGCATGTCTTCTGATGGGTTGATAGTAGCGTTTTAAAGTTGTTGTGGAATATTATTTTAAGATGTTACATTTGTTTATGCTGCAGAATATTTGTTTAATGGTGCAAAGACGTGTGGCATTCCTTTATATTGCATTTCTTTAACTCTGTGAAGCTATGTTACTTTGACAGCCTAAAACACCTGATTGGTCTAATAAAAGCTGAACAGCCAATAGGGAGCCAGGAGAAAGGATAGGCGGGGCTGGCAGGCAGAGAGAATAAACAGAAGGAGAAATCTTGGAGGAGGGGAGGAAGAAGTAAGAAAAGAAGGGGCCAGCCCCTCAGGCCCCCAGGTCCCCAGATCCCTAGTCCCCCAGCTCCCCAGGCCCCCAGGCCCCCAGATCCCCAGTCCCCCCACCCCCAGGCTCCCCGCCCCCCAGCCCCCACCCCCCACCCCCAGCCATCCACCCAGCCTCCCAGACCCCCCAGACTTCAGCCACACAGCCAGCCATGGGGTAGGAGTGAGAGGAAGATTACAGAAGTAAGAAAAGGAAAAAGCCTGGAGGCAAAAAGGTAGATGGGATAATTTAAACTAAGAAAAACTGGTGAGAAACAAGTCAAGCTAGGCCGGGCATTTGTAAGTAAGAATTACGTCTCCCTGTATTTATTTGGGAGCTGGGTTGTGGGTCCCCCAAATGAGCAAAAGCAAAGAGCCAAAAGAGTAAAAAAGTAAAAACAAACAAACAAACAAAAAGCTACGACAAAAGTCAGACTGTGACCATGGATGCAGAGATGGTTTTGTCAGTTTCGGGAGATTGTTGGCGCGCACATCTGACAATGTATGACTAAGGTGAGCGGTGCCTTTAGCCGGGCGGGGTGGCCTACATACACCAGGGTCCGGGAGACTGAGGCCGGAGGACGGGAGCCACAGTGCAGCCTGGGCTCTGTAAGCAGCTGTTGTGTCTCTATGACACAAAAGGAGCCCAAGCCAAGCGGAAAGTGACACCTCTGTAAACCTGTGAAAAACCAGGGGCTGGATAAGGTAGGAATGTCTCAACCATGATCTCTATACGTATGAAATGTGGAAAGAATAAAACTTTACAGAAAAACAAGATAAATAAGAATAGAGTTTCTAGTGTTATGAACGTAACTGGTGATTGTGGCTGTGTCTGTGGAGATGGCTCAGAGTGACACAATTTCAGGGGACATTTTCAGCCTTTTGGGGCAGGCAGGGCTGTCAAGGAAAGGGACCCAAAGATACTGAACAAGGCGGGTGGTCGAGACCTTTGACCTCTGTGTCTCTCCTGAGAGGGGCTGTGGGTAAAGCAGGAGAGGTTCAAAGACTACAAATAAAAAGGCAGACAGTGGTGGGATCCTAGGTAGGACTTACTGATGTGGAGACTTTCTTCGTCTTGCTTAGTTGACCATGACTCATTGTCTTCAATGTCTTTGCTGGCCTGCGTGACCACACTTGGGGGTTCGTCAGAGCCGGGGTTCATAGACATCATGCTGCTCTGGGGAGAAGAAGCCCCACTGGTCCTGGTCAGACTGAGAGTGGAGCCCCGCCGGCTGGGTTTGCGGCTGGCTGTGCGAATTGTGGGGATTTTGAATTTCTTGGTCTGAAGGAAAGAGAGAAAAGAGAGGGATGTCAGAGAGGATGGGTAAATAAAGGAAGGGGGAAGGGGAAGGAGGGGGGACAGGAAGGAGGGAGAAAGTAAGGAAAGAAAAGAAAAGTGGTATTTCTTTTTTATATTTCATAATTTTATTGAGTTAATTATTTTTTCACCTTTTTATTGATTTTATTGAGCTCTACATTTTTTTTCCTCTGCTACCCTCCCTTTCTCTCCCCTCCCATTCAACCCTCTCCCATGGTCCCCATGCTCCCAATTTACTCAGGAGATCTTGTCTTTTTCTATTTCCCATGTAGATTAGATCCATGTATGTCTCTCTTGGGGTCCTCATTGGTGTCTAGGTTCTCTGGGATTGCGATTTGTAGGCTGGCTTTCTTTGCTTTATGTCTAAAAGCCACTTATGAGTGAGTACATATGATATTTGTCTTTCTGGGCCTGGGTTACCTTACTCAAAATGTTTTCTAGCTCCATTCATTTTCCTGTAAAATTCAAGATGTCTTTTTTTTTCTGTTGTGTAGTACTCCATTGTGTAAATATGCCACATTTTCCTTATCCATTCTTCGGTCGAGGGGCGTCTAGGTTGTTTCCAGGTTCTGGCTATGACAAACAAAGCTGCTATAAACATAGTTGAGCACATGTCCTTGTGGTACGATTGAGCATTCTTTGGGTATATACCCAAACGTCGTATTGCTGGGTCCTGAGGAAGGTTGTTTCCTAATTTTCTGAGAAACTGCCATACTGACATCCAGAGGGGCTGTACCAGCTTGCACTCCCACCAGCAATGCAGAAGTGTTCCATTTTTCCCCACAACCTCTCCAGCATAAGTTGTCATCAGTGTTTTTGATCTTGGCCATTCTTACAGGTGTAAGATGGAATCGCAGAGTTGTTTTGATTTACATTTCTCTGATGGCTAAGGATTTTGAGCATTTCCTTAAGTGTCTTTCAGCTATTTTAGATTCCTCTGTTGAGAGTTCTCTGTTTAGGTCTGTACCCCATTTTTTTACTGAATTATTTGTTCTTTTGATGACCAGTTTCTTGAGTTCTTTATATATTTTGAAGATCTGCCCTCTGTCTGATGTGGGGTTAGTGAAGATCTTTTTCCATTCTGTTGGCTGCCATTTTGACTTGTTGACCGTGTTCTTTGCTTTACAGAAGCTTTTTAGTTTCAGGAGGTCCCATTTATTAATTGTTTCTCTTAGTGTTTGTGCTACTGGGGTTATTATTTAGGAAGTGGTTCCCTGGGCCAATGCGTACTTCCCACTTTCTCTTCTATGAGGTTCAGTGTGTCTGGCTTTATGTTGAGGTCTTTGATCCATTTGGACTTGAGTTTTGTGCATGGTGATAGATATGGATCTATTTGCATTCTTCTACATATTGATATCCAGTTATGCCAGCACCATTTGTTAAATATGCTTTCTTTTTTTCCATTTTATATTTTTTGCTTCTTTGTCAAAAATTAGGTGTTTGTAGGTGTGTGGATTAATATCCGGGTCTTTGATTCAGTTCCTTTGGTCCTCGTGTCTGTTCAGGCTGTGGAAAGTGGTATTTCTAATCCCTGATGAGGTCAAGATGAGGGGGTCAAAGGACTCAGTTCCTCCTGGCTCCTTGAAAACACCATGGACACAAGCTGGACCTGGAGTGACCGGTGTCACCAACCAAGATGTTCAGAAGATGTTCTTTTCTGTGTGTGTCGCTGGAAGTCCCCTTGACCCTGTACTAATGATTTTTTTAATGTCACCTAAGATGCCATGGAGATTGTAGAGAAGTGACAGAGCTTGGTGTGTGTGTGTGTTTGCATGTGTGCATGTGTGCACATGTGTGCGTATGTGTGCACGTGTGTGTGCTTGTGTGTATGTGTGTGTTAATGTATGTGTGCTTGTGTGTGTGTGCTTGCGTGTGTGTGCATGTGTGCATGTGTGTGCGTGTGTGTATGTATGTCTGTTAGTGAAAGAAGAGGGCAGAGAGAGACAAGCCGTGTTCCACTCTATCGTCCTCCATCTTATTCCCTTGAGGAAGGGTCTCTCCTTGATCCTGGAGCCAGGCAGGCAGCCAGCAAGTCCCAGTGATCCTCCTGTCTCCACCACTCTCCCCACAGTGCTGGGGATGCAAGCATCATACCTGGTGTTTAAGTGGTGGGGATTCGAACTCAGGTCATTACGCTTGTGCGTCATGCCTTCTGACTTAGCGAACCATCTCCCCAGTCTCAGAAATAATTTTCCTTGAGAGCTTTTAAAATGAAAGTGCTTTGGAGATTCAGGTTGGTGCCATATTTGTATGAAACTCCTAATATTTAATGTTCTGGGAATGAAGGCCGCAGGGAGCAGAGGGGATCCTGAAGGCCACACCAAGATTTAACACCATGACACTAGGTGAAAATTACACTCAACACGTTTGCTTCCAGCGATCAACTGCACTGAAGCACAAGTGTTGGTAGTAACATTTTAGGGCCTTGAATATGGGCGGAACTTCCCTGTATTAGAAGCAGGGAGGGATTTCATGGTTGCACCGAGGAAGGGAAAAGGTGCGGGAAGAGGAGGGGGTAGAGTTGTGGGCCTTCTTCTCCCATTCCTACCTTTGCTTTACGTCTTTCCCCATGTTTTCTGGCAAAAATTTGCACAGTCAGAAGGCGACTTCAGCATGCAACAGGCTGGGGGGCTGGAGTTTGGACTGGCTTCATCCAGTTCTCCAAGCCAGTTTCAGGATTACAAAATGATGGTGCCGGGAGACTCTTATGGTACTTAGGAGGCTTCCCTTGTCCTGACCCTGCAGCTTGACCAGGAGCTGGTCTGCCTGATGGGACACTCTACACCCCTGCCACCCTGTGAGAGAGGGTGTCAGAGTTCAGGGATAGTAGGGACACACAGAGGTCATCTTCCTGCTTCAGCAGCCACTTCTGAGTCCCTGGTGCTCTCTGGAGGACAAGAGTCTTTAGACCAACACTGTTGTGGAAGGTTTAACAGACTGTGTCTCAGGGGCAACCTGGGATCTTGCAAGGAGCCCTGTACTCAGAGTCAAGGGACTAGATCACTCTGCCTCAGTTTCCTCATTTATAAAACAGTGGGGTGGACTGAGGTGGCCACAAAGGGAACTGATAACTGCGGTGTTCATGCTCCTCACTGAGGTGGGAGTTCATCTTGTGCTTCTGCAGTTGCCCCTAATTAACGTTCAATTAGTCGCCCCAGCCAGGGACCCAAGTGAAGGGCTGACACTTTGACTGAGAGTGAGGGAAAGCTAGAATGTTGGGGGGATGTGGTGGGCTTCAGCCTGTCATTTGCCCTTTATCGAACTGACTCTCCCGGACTGCAGTCCCAGGTGCTTTTCTGGCTTTCACAGTTTGCTCAGGAGTGATGTGACCCAGCTGCCATATTCCGTCTCAGGAGGAACTGGCTTTTTTCTCTTTCTCTTTCTCTTTCTCTTTCTCTCTCTCTCTCTCTCTCT